AAGTTACACCCTGCAGGACTATATGTATTGCATCAGTTAAAGGTATGATTAAGCACATTTTCTGTGTTCACAGACACCTACCCACTTTTCCACAAAGCATGCAAGGGTGCTAGTGATACCAATGAAAGGAAACTATCATAAATGTTATTTGTGAGTGAAATATAACACCATTGTTGCAATCATCAAATCTATGTGTTTTTACCCTGAAAGGGTCTACTTACGTGAATGTAATTTATTCTGTATAACTGACTGGATATTTCAGATAACACACACACCAATTCTTATTCTCTCCACTCAGACCTCAATCCAATGTGAGCAGCAGCACCAAATGCTGGCCTCACATAATGCAAGTGGACTTGCTGCTGCTTTTTAAAAGGGATGATGCACACTCCCAATCACTTTGAATAAAACTTTGTTGGTCTTAAAAGATGCCACTGGACTCAAACTTTGTACTCCTGTTCTGAGAAAGAGTACAACTTTCAGAGAAGTAATAAAAGGGATCTTAAAGGTTCAGGAGGCATTGCTGCACAGGGAGGAAGGGGCAGCCTAACCTTGCCAGCACTTGGCATTTCTTTTTTAATTTAGAGGACTTCTTGAGAGCTGGAAATAGGTGCCTCATATGGCCCTTCAAATTTAACTATATCCTTTATATGATGTATGCTGTTGGGGGCAAGTGTAGCAGATTACTCATTAGACCCCTTCAGTTTATGTAATAAATGGAAGGTGTCTGATATCAGTCTTCTCCAGTTAGCATGGAAGTCATATTTGACCTACCATGACTACTCTCTCCAGGATTTAATAATCTGGTCAGCGGGAATGAATTGGGAGCTTGTGGACAAACAGCGCCACCTAATGTTCATTACATTAAAATGTCCAGTTTCTTAATTTCCACCTTTCACAGGTATGGTTAGAAGATAATTTTCTGTTTGCTTGGCTTGGGTAGTCTCCATTTGTGAGTCCACAATGTCCACATTTAAAATTTAGCACCTTCAGTGCTGGCTTCTTGATTGCCATAATTTTACTCCCCAGTCGTAAACATGGTTATATAGAAAAAGTGTGTCAGTGGAAGCGGCTTCCAAATAAGCATGCTTATTGATTTCAAACTTTAGTGGAGGTGGTTGAAAAATTGTTGTTTAAAAGGATTTCTGAGGAAAATGCTACTGCTCTTGAATATTTTGTCATAAAGCTGAACAATCATTCTTTCAAATCTAGTCAAAACTTGAAAAAAATCAATACCACAGGGTTGTTATTTAAGGGGAGGAAATATGTACACTACCATGAGTTTCATGAAAGAAGAGCAACATAAAATGTAATAGGTTAATAAACAGATATGCCTGAATAGCTCTCAAAAGTATCAAAAATATGATGATGATGAAGAAGAAGAAGAAGAAGAAGAAGAAGAAGAAGAGATTGGATTTATACCCCGCCCTTCACTACCCAAAGGAGTCTTAGAGCGGCATACAAACTCTTCCCTTCCCCTCCCCACAACAGACACCCTGTGAGGTGGGTGGGGCTGAGAGAACTGTGACAGAGTCACTGCTTCCTGGGTCCTCTGCGTAGCCCTTCTGACCTCTTAGAGGGTGGCACACCTTGATGTCCCACCCACAGCACTCTGAGTGTGGGGAACCTTTCTTGAAGAGGCCTCCTGTTCCCCCTCTCCTTCTCCCTGCTGAGAGGGAGTGGGCCTCTTCTTCCTCCCACTGGTCGCCACTCTTTCTTCCAGCAGCAACATAGTTGGGTGCACCCTCTGCCTGCAGAGGACAGAGAAGGACTAGTGCTGGGGGTTTGCACCTCTCCAGACATAGGTATGGTACACCTGGCACTCTGCCACACAGGGTTCACTGGGGAGAGTGTGGAAATGTCTCCAAACTGTGGGCTGGAAATGGAACCCCTGGATTGGAGAAGGTGGGAGGCACAGCTGCTTTCTGGTGCTGGGCTGGAAGGGACCACAAAGGGAGCAGCAACAGTGAGGGCGATTTCTCACTAGAGCTGCCTCGCAGCACAGCGCCGTTTGCCCCAACACAAACATGTCAATTTCACACCAAGGCTGCAGGGCTGCATTTGACTCGGGGCTTCACCCGATTTCCTCCGCAGTTTCATGATCCTCAAAAACCAGGATTAACAACTATTTTGCCTCTGTGGACAGACCCAGGAACAGATTTATTTATTTATTTATTTGATTTGTATCCCGCCCTCCCAGAGGCTCAGGGCGGCTCACATGCGGCAAAGCCGAGATATAAATTACAATAAAACATATAGTAAAATACAACATTTAAAACCACAGGAAACTCCATCCTATAACACGGTGCTGTGCCGTGTTATAGGATCAGGGGAAGGAGGCTCTGAGACCCCTGGTGATGCCCTGCTTGGGCTGGGCTCCAGTGCACTAGCAGGATAGGTTTAGTGTCCAGGGACCAGGGGCCTGTAGTATGCAGGGGGGAGGACTTCTTCCCCCCATGATGAGCACCCTTTGCACCCACTTTCACCTTAATGGAACACAGAAGTGTTGACACTCAGGAGGGATGGGAGGGTATAAATGTGGGAGACTTGGGGGGGCATAACTGGGACCCCAGAAATGTAATTGGCCCCCAGCTTGGAGAGATTGTAGAGGAGCAGATGGCAGGGTGAGGGTTCCTGTGCATCTGGGGTGTGGTGCATCTGGGGTGTATAGCTTACAGGGGGGTCCATTCTGTACACTTTTGAACCTGTGCCTGATATTTCCACCAGAAACACTTTCCTTCTTTGGGGGGCCATAACTTGGATCCCTAAGTCCAATCTGCACATAACTTGGGGGAGCATCAGGGGGAGGTCCCCTGTGAGTTTGATGCCTCTAGCTTACACAGGGTCTGTTATATATACTCCTGAACCTGTGCCTGTCATTTCCCCAGAAAGCACTTTCCTGGGGGCATCTTCTTGGGGGGGGGATAACTGAGACCCTGTAAATCCAATACTCACCAAACTTGGAGGGCAGGTAGAGGAGTGTTAGCTGGAGATCCCCCTGTGAGTTTGGTGTGTCTAGCATGCCGGGGGGGGGACATTCTACCTTTCATGAGCCTCACAAACTGAACCGGTTCATTGGGTGCCTAAAAGTTTGTGACAGTTCATGGTTTGCAAACCAGGCATGCCACGAACCACAAACTGAACCGAATCACCTTTCTTTGTGTGCCCATCCCTAGTAATAGCTAGATCACTATAACATTATAATGTTACAGTAATGTGTTGTACTAATGTGGCAGTTACTCTGAATACCTAGCTTTCGTTTTTGAATATATATATTTATTATAAATTTACAAAATTACTTTCAACATAGAGACTCACAAATAATGAGTACAATTAATGATGCATAATTCCTACTTTTTAAAATTCATCCTTCTGTATGGTTATCAGTATTATATCAGCTGACCCAGTTTCCAAGTTTATGTTCAAATACTACACCAAATTTGGTACTAACATTTTTGCAAATTCCAAGGGATACTTCAAGGGGTGTGCAAAGGGAAAAAAATGGGGGGTTTTCTAAAAATTTGGGTATAAAAGAGCTGAATTTATTCAGCATTCCTGAATATTTCCAAATACCAGTATCGACACTGTATTTGGATTCAGGAAATATGCACTGAATATATTCAGCTCTATTATACCCTATGGGGCCATTATACTCAATGGCAAATCTCCTAGGGTATAATCAGTGGGCTGGGGAGAGGGGAGTTGAGGTAGAGGCACAAATTTGCAGTGTAGCTGCTGGGGATTCTTCCCAAAAGAATCCCCAATTTTCAAAAAGATTAGAACAGGGGATCCAATTCTATGGGCACCCAAAGTGGTGCCTCCCCCAGACCACTGAAAATACCCAAAGAGATTTGCCATTGGCTATAATGGTCCCATATGGTATAATGGAGCCAAATAAATCTCAATGGTATTCGGGATCTCTATTTGGCTACTGAATAGATGCTCTGATTTCATATTTGGCTTGATAAATACCCAAAAAATGCCGAAAAGGCATTATTTGGGTATTTATTCAACTCGGTAAATACCAAATGCACACCCCTAGATACTTCTTGTTCCAAAAATCAATAAAAAGTGTCCATTGCTATGCACATTTCCTTCTGATACCTTGCTTTAACACTGAAATTTTATCCATAATCATTTTGAACCACGTTTTCCGCAGCTGTTTCTCGAAGTCTGGCAACATACACTGTTTCCAGCTCCTGGCAATTAACATGCTAACCACTATCAATAAATATGACTAGATACCATAAACTCGTACTAACTGTTCCATACTGTAGCCCAAGAACCACATCAGTGATGAAAGACATATATTTTCCCTATGATATCTTTTAACCCTTTCCTTATTATGTTCTAATAATTTTTATGACATTGTATTCACACCAAAGGGAGCTGCGGTGGCTCAAGTGGTTAAGATGCTGAACTGCAGGCTGTGGAAGGTCGGTAGTTCAGCAGTTCGAGACCCGAGTGTGCCACAAAACGGAGTGAGCTCCCGTCTCTGGACCCAACCTAGCAGTTCGAAAGCAAGAAATTGCAAGTAGATAAATAGGTACCACTTTGGTGGGAAGGTAACAGCGTTCCGTGCACCTTGGTGTTTAATCATGCCGGTCACATGACCACGGAAACGTCTTCAGACAGTGCTGGCTCTTCGGCTTTGAAACGGAGATGAGCACCGCAACCCTAGAGTCGGACTCGACTGGCTTTCGAGCAAGGGAACCTTTACCTTTACCTTTATTCACACCAAATGTGAAACTTCCATTTAAAAAAAAATAAGCATCCCGCCCTTTTTGCTGCAGAGAGTTAAAGGGTTCAGCTTTCCCACTTTGTCTCTGCAAAGAGAAGAACAAGATGCTTAGTTTAAAATAAAGAAAATAAAGAGAATTTTACATGCAATTATAATTTTAAAATAATATAGCAACCTAGCTTTACTGATTTTTTTAAAAATCCCCCCAAAAGCAGCGGGAATATGGCAGCCACTTGGCTGAGGCAAGGAAAGAGCTGGAAAAATGGCTGTGCAGTTTGCAGCATCATTGAGAGGTGCATGGAAAATTGTTTCCATGTGAAAGCATCCTTAAGTTAACAGTTGTTTAAAGGAGAGCAAATCGCCTTCCATGAAAATTCTCACAAGACAATCATATCTAGAAAAAAATCACTAGACTGATGTATTTGTCTCTAAAACTCAAATTACAAAAACAACGAATAGGCTAAGTCACAGAACCATGCATTATTTGTCACCATTTTCTGAATATATAACTTTTCTAGACACAACTACACAGCAAAGAAAATCACACACATACACAGGCCTTACACTGAAAGGCACATTTTGAAAGATTTTTTTCCTTTCACTTTCAGTTGCATGAATACTTGGTTTGCTAGTAGTGGGAATGAGGGCTGTCTTTGCAAGAAGTAAAAGTGACAGCTATGTTTAGGGGGAAATAGGCAGGAGCATTGTGGATCCTGATTCTGCAGTCTGCCAAGGATTCTAGATTGGATTTACGAGAGGGGAAAGCCTAAAATAATATGGTTAAAGTATCAAGAAGATATATGAATTCCTCATGGCTCTGAATCAGTTCTGTGGAATACAATCATAATGGTGAAAGAAGCAGAGATATATATTCAGCACTGTGGTAGACAGTCCACGAAATACTCCTCAAAGATGAGAACCCAGCAAGAGTGTTCTGGAAAATGCTTTACCTTCATGCCTTTGTTGTTGTTGTTGTTCTGCAGTGGTGTCTCCTGTTTTCCTTTTCAGAAGAGCCTGAGTCCTGTGTTCTGAAATTTATTATCTTCTGTTACTGCTACCTTTTACTGCATCTTCTTATTTAATTTATGTCTTCTTTCCAAGCGTGAATATCCAGGTTTCGGTTGGATCTATTTTAAGGTGAATTAATTAACCAGCATAATAATACTATCTTTTTTTCTTAATTTGTTTATTTAATTTTTTTAAAACTCTCATAGTTATAGAAAAATCTGTGGAACATACAAAATAATCAGCTTTTTCCCCACTCCTTGTCTGTTTTTCTTCCAATGAAATTATAGGGAAACCTACCTCCAGACTATAGGATAAGTCTGATTGATATTGGCCTGGTGATTGAATACCTGATGGGAGGAGCTTATCGCTGTAATTATACTCGAAAACGATTCCGAACCCTCTATCACAACTTGTTTGGCCCCAAGAGAGTAAGAATTGTTGGGGGTGGTTAACATTTTCATAGAGGCACAGAGTTAAGGGGGTGGGATAAAGAGGTACATTAGCCATGTGAACTGCAAGACAAGATAAATGTTGACTGAACTATGTTTTTTCACGTATAAATGGGGTTGTGACTAAGTATTATAATCTAATATACATTCTACAAACTCCAGTTCAACCCAGGACTGAAATACATGCACATCCTAATTCCATCCACATATATGTACTTCCTAAGAAAGAGAGGGCCATGAGCTATGAGAAATTAAGGATGACACACAGGGAGCCAATTCCCCCAGTAAAGAATTATGAGAAGAGCTGATGATATTCATGTTGTGCAGTTTCCTTTGCTGGGAAAACAATGAACTACACTGCATTCATCATGAGCTTTTCTGTAGTTGTAGTTCCCCACTTTATTATTTTGCTATTTTGAGTCAATATTGATATAACAAGTCATGAAACCATTTTATAGAAATGCACAAGCAGTGAAAAATAGGTTCTGGGGGGAAATGCCAGAGGCTTGTGACACATGCAAGAGACATAAGGTTGATTCCATACTTCCACAAGGAATCTTTCATGCCTTCCCCTTCTTTCTCCAGACCTTTGCATACAGATATCCTAACCCTGAAAAACCATTCCTGAAGTGTCTGTTCTTTTTTCTTTCTGAGAACACTATGGAATTCAGCATGGCAGCTTGTAGTGGGCAAAGACAATCCAGCACTACTGTACAAACGCTTTCTCACAAAAGCAGGTGGGGTGGAGTTTTCTGTCAGTTCCCCTTCCTATGAACTTCCCTGCCCTACATCCCCCATCAAAACTACATCAAAACTCAACTGTACTGAGAGCAAGGCCCCTTCCTATGAACTTTCCTGCCCTACATCCCCCATTATCTAACCTAACATCAAAACTCAACTGTACTGAGAGCAAGACAGTCCTTTAGACCCAATGACACCTACTACATTTGACTTGATGTGCTATTACAGTTCAGCATAAATTAACAAAACCTTGTGGTCTTCTAATATCTGTACTGGACTCTGATAACCAGAACAGTGTGTATAGACAAATATATGGAAGGAGGTTTTATTGTTCTTGTTAGTCTCTCTGCTTTAATGAACACACTATAAATCATTGCTCTTTTCTTTTTCTGTCTACAGCCCAAAGCCCTGAAACTCCTGGGAATGGAGGTAACTGGCATGTAATCAATGTTGATGACTTTTTTTCCCTTTTCATTATCAGAACCAAGCATATTCATTGCCACCGCAGATAGTAATTTATGATGTGGTTACTAAACTGATGAGATTGTACAAAAGAAAAGTGAATTCCTCATGACTAGTACTGTGAATCAGTTGTGGCATGTGATGGTAAGGAAGATATGCACTGACAGTACTGTGCAGTTGCTGAAGGCAATAGGGGCATTATATGGGGGAGGAGCTCTGACTTAGTGGTAGAGTATCTGCTTGGCATGCAGAAGATTCCAGGTTCAGTCTCAGAATCTCCAGCTGAAAGGATCAGATAGTCAGTGATTTGAAAGACTTCTACCTGGGACCCTGGAGAGCTGCCGCCAGTTTGAGTCGACAGTACTGACCCGGATGGACCAGTGGTCTGATGTAAAGCAGTTTCATGTGTTCATTATATACACGAAGACAGTATCTAAGGGGCAGCCCATGGCTAGGTAAAAGTACTTTTAGAAGCATTCCTTTCCAGCAGCCTGTGGGAGATGCAATCTGCTCTCCCACCCACAAGGCATGACTGCTGTTCAAAGCTGTTAACAGATTAACAGCCCTATGTCTGCACAGTCCTTGAGGGTTTGCAACTCAGTTCCACAGTTCCACAAATTAGTTTCCTCTTAATACATCATGAATATAACCTTTATATGCCTAGTTTTCAAGCAAAATATTTCCAAGTATTTGCAACTTGCATCAAGGCTTTGAACATGGTCAGCAAGGCATTCATAACAGAATGCATCTGCACAGGGAAACTAGAGATAATGTAGATAACCCATTTGCAACATGGTATGCAATATATAGATAGATAGATAGATAGATAGATAGATAGATAGATAGATAGATAGATAGATAGATAGATAGATAGATAGATAGATATAGATATAGATAGGATCACAAAAAAAGGGAAGGGGGAAATAAGAGAGATGCTCAGTACTATTGTTAAGAACTTACCAGTAAAAACTTGGAAAATGACAAAGAGACAAAATCACATGCATTGATGACAGTTTTGCAAAATGTGGTATACTGTGACTTGAGCTCTGGTGGCATATTTACTAAAAATTCCAATAGTTTCCACCACAGATTTCAGCACTATGCAGGCAGAAACTTGGAATGCCATCTACCAGAACAGTGCTGTAGCCTTGTCAATCTTAAGGAGCCCACTTCCAGTTCCCCCTGTTGCCCCTTTGCCTCTTAGCATGCCCCTAGGTAATGCCACCCACCCCAGAGGGTAGTACCACCCACTTTTGGAACCAATGGTATATACTGTTAATGCTGTGTCTTAAGGAGCCCACTTCCAGTGCCCTCTGTTGCCCCTTTGCCTCTTAGCATACCCCTAGGTAATGCCACCACCACCACCCCAGAGGGTAGTACCACCCACTTTGGGAACCAATGGTATATACTGTTAATGCTGTGTGGAGTCTAGGTTGAGACAGTGGCATTGGAGGAAAAGATGTTCAATCATTTCCCTCGTGTTATTTTTCCCAATCTAAAACATCCCTTCCAAAAGCTGCCCCCCCCCCTTCCATTTACCTCCTGGAGAAATACATCTTGGCTTCCTAAAGGAACTTGTATGTTCCATTGTGGAGCAAATAGATACTTGGAGTTAATTTAGCTTGGGATAAGTTAAGCATCCCATTGTCTAGGCCTTCCTGACCCTGCTGCTTCAAGAAAAGTGGAATATGTAGGGCTGCCAGGTCCCCCGGGGTATCATAGAGTTTTCAAGCTGAATGCTAGAGCATCCACCGGTGGCACGCCTAGTGTGTTGACATCACTTCCGGGTAATGTCATTGCAGGACACATGCGCACATGCGTATATGTCCCAGACCAGGACCAACCCCCCCCCACCACCAAAAAATTAAGGGACCTGGAAACCCTAGGAATATGTGATCCAATGAAGGCTTGTCCCTAATTTTGTACATAGGCTTGGGGGAGGACAGGCACAAGACTGTAGATATCCTTATGGGAAAACATGAATACTGGATGAGTAACTGATTAAAGCAAACTAAAGAAAGCAAGCCGGTAAGGAATATTTGTGTCACATGTGGCTGTAGCAAGGGAGCTATTTTCAAAAAGTGAGAAAGGAAAACTATAAATAACATAAATAAATAACATAAAAATACAGCATAAAGTGATTGACGTTGTTTTGCTCTGTTGGTTTTTTCCTATGTTTAACAGGATGATGTTCCCATACGGAGGGGAAGAAAGACAACTAAAAAACGAGAGGAGGAAGTGGATATTGACTTAGATGACCCTGAAATTAACCATTTCCCTTTCCCTTTCCATGAGTTGATGGTGTGGGCTGTTCTTATGAAGCGGCAAAAGATGGCCCTCTTCTTCTGGCAACATGGAGAGGAAGCCATGGCTAAGGCTTTAGTAGCATGCAAGCTCTGCAAAGCCATGGCCCATGAAGCATCAGAGAATGATATGGTAGATGATATATCTCAAGAACTGAACCACAACTCCAGGTTGAGTAATTAGTTTAGTGTTTAGTATCTACTGTAGTATTTATTAGCATTTAGTATTTATTCCCATTGAAATTTATTAAAATTATGCCACTTCTACTGAAGTCTGTGCTGATACAAAGACCATACCAGGAAGTCTTATCATGCTCCCAAGTATTCAGACCTTGTATTTGCACTCATAGCCCAATTATGTCCTGTAATGATGAGGTGGACATCAACAATAGTTTCTGTGTACCTTTGGTGTTACAACGTATTGGGCAGAAGGCAACCTTGGTTGACTTTAAAGGTTATATAATAGCATATATAAGGGAGATGACAGTGTCTCAGGTATGTAGGACCCAGACCATCTAAGGCTTTAATGGTCAAATTCAGCACCTAAATTATGCCTGTAAGATAATGGGTAGACAGTGCAGATACCACATGACTCATATATTGCACTCTCAGCAACTCAAACCTATTAAGATGAAGATTGTTGCATGGTGTACCACTTAGGGCTGCCCAGCATAGCACCTTACAATAGTAAAACCTGGAAGTTAAGAAGATATGGATGCTGGTTTCTAGATGAGCTTTGACCGGACAGAAAGCCTGCTGAAAGATGGAGGGAGTAAAAGAAACTCCTGGGCATAACCTCCTGCATCTGGGATTCCAGATTTACTTGTGGTCACTAGGAAGCCACGGAACTGATGTTAACAGAGAAGCACACATAGACATGCAAACACCCTGTCCCATATATAACAAGTTCTGCCTGTTGTCATTACCTGCATCTTATGCTGTAACAACCTCAATGAGTTCATCTGCTATCAGTCCCTCAGGAGTGTTTCTTGATAAACTTTAAATAAATACCAAGTGCATAGAACTTCAAGTTGAATGAAAAGGACCTAGTAAAAAATTCCCTTAGAAATTTGTTTTTATTACAAATACATAAGGAACAGGTGAACATTCGGGTAAGTGGCAGAGAGAAGAAAGAAAATGAAAGGGATCTTCAGGTTCTTAGAAATTATGAATTAAGAAACTCAGCTAGGTATCTAACCCAAAACACCAACATTTCAAGTGAGTGTCAGTATCTCAGCCAAGTCTACTGAAGTGTGACATAGCCCTTCCAACAGAAGCCGTTACCCAAAGTTTACATTCCACGGAACAGATTGTACAAGCTAACAAAAACGCCCTGTGTTGCAGGGACTTTGGCCAGCTGGCAGTGGAGCTGCTGGACCAATCCTACAAGCAGGATGAGCAGCTGGCAATGAAACTACTGACCTATGAGCTGAAGAACTGGAGCAACGCCACGTGCCTGCAACTCGCGGTGGCAGCAAAACATCGAGATTTCATTGCCCACACTTGTAGCCAAATGCTGCTCACAGACATGTGGATGGGCAGGCTTCGGATGCGTAAAAATTCAAGCCTAAAGGTCAGGACTGCTTTAAAACAGAGTTGTTCCGCCGGGCCTATGGTTGAGGGCAGTACTGGGCAGCTAGTTTCTGGCCTCCTCCTTTCCCCTCCCCCCTTGCTCCCCCCCTCCCTTCTGCTTATTGCTCCCTGGTGAGTTTTTATATAGAAGTTGTTTTATTGATTTTATATTTATGGACTGCTTAACTGTATATTGTATTTTATTTTATTTTTTAAAAAATGTATTAAGTTTTAAGGATACATAGGGATGGGAAAGGGAAAATGGGAAGGGATTAAAGTAATAATTTTCTGCTTGTAACTTTGTCATTTCAAATTATACAGAGATAGACTGCAAGGTTTAAGAATTCACAAAAGCTTCTTAATATTATGATATTAGGAAGTTCATATCCTTATATTTCTCTCTTGTCCAATTATAAAATGGAGTCCATAATCCAACAAAGTCTTCTTCCATTTGCCCTTTGAACATTGAAGTCAATTTGTCCATTTCCGCACTTTCCATAATCTTTCCGATTGTATGTTGTATTTTAGAAGGTTTAAATTGTATATTCAAATTGTATATTTATTTGTTGTCACCCGCTCTGAGCCAGGTTCAGAGAGAGCAAGATATAAGTTTAAATAAATAAATAAAATATTATCTTGAAGCTCAGGGAAAAGATATACAGACTTCACCATAGGTGGTTTATCAATATAAAGCATTGGTGGTGCCTTATCCTGTTACTTGCAAAAAAAATAGTTTAAACTCTTAAAGGGAATACCATTATGAGGCAAAACAGATGATGCAGCAAGAGTGACCTGCCCATTCTAAAGATGTTGAGGAGGGTGCCAGGTCTTTAGGGAGCTCCATATGACCATTTACTGCTCCTGATGTCCCTCCCACATAATGGCTGAACATCATGGTTGCACTAGCCCCTACCTAATTGTTTTGATAACCACATGCACTGTCAGATGCCTGGATGACCTAGAGCATGTGCAATTTGAAACTAAATAAGCAACTGGCATAACCATAACCTGTTAATTGTGATGATTATTGTTATCATTATTATTGCTTTAGGTAATTCTAGGAATTCTACTTCCTCCTTCAATTCTCAGCTTGGAGTTCAAGAACAAAGATGACATGCCTTACATGTCTCAAGCCCAAGAATTCCAGCTTCAAGAGAAAGAGCCAGAGGAACCAGAAAAACCAGTTAAAGAAAAAGAAGAGGAGGACATGGAACTCACAGTAAGGGGGGGGGAGTTTGTCAAAGGTGGTCTACATATTCATGGTTCACTTGCTAATGCCATCTCTATATGTTAGGGTGTGTAATCCAAGCATTTTCCCAGGCATTTCCTACTGAATTTAATTTTAACTTTGCTTAAGTAGTAGTCCTGTAAACTCCACAATTGTGTGTACAGGATGTGTCTGTACAGTGAGGACCAGGATTATGCCCACTGACTCCACCAGTTCCTGTGTGCTGCTCTGGACCTACATGTTGGCACAGAGACCATACACATCCACACTACACACATAGGCTCCATTCATATGATTGGAAACACACCTACATATGTAACCTCAACACACAAGCACCATGCATACAGAGCTAGTGTTGAATAGGCTGTGCTCAGAATTCCCTAACTTGAACACACTGCTGTAAAGAGATCAGTTCTGTTTTTGCTTTGAGAAAACGTTACTGAAAACCCAAGCAGGGTTAGACCCTTCTAAGCTGGTTTATGGATTTACAAAGGTGTAAATTAGTTTAGGATTGCACTTCATACATTATTAAGATGAATAACAATACCTTGCTAAGGTGAGTCAGAAAGTTCACCATGGGTTACTCAGCAAGATGTATGAGTACACAACAATGCTGTATCATGCTATTAGAAGGAACACTGTTACTTAGTAACCAGGCATGTAAGATTTACAGAAGGAAGGATAGTTGAAGTATGCCCCCAAGCACAAGTATTATTGGGTATTATTACTGCAATACCTATGTAAAAACAACCCAAAATAATTCCACTCACTGAAGTGGCACTTACCTAAGATTTCCACCAATTTCCCCCTACCATCACAACTGTTCAGGCCATCCAAATTGTTTCTCAGAGTCCACTGAATGAAATTTCAGGGAGTACAATAGGCTGAAGTGGGAATTAGGAAAGTTCCAGCCTAACCCATTAAGATTAACTCCTGGGCTATCTGAAAGATTCTACAGCCATGTTTTTATATTGTCATGTACCCTTTTGATAGGTTCAGGTTTAACTCTCATAATAAAAAAAAGCATTTCTTTAAAAACCGATCTGTTAAATGTACTACTTCATTATAACAATAACAAGTCCACACTGTAAGCCAAAATTTCTTCAGTCTCTAATAGGATGCTAGTATTTCAGTCACATGGTTCCTTATATATATTTGTTAACCTGTCCCATCAGTAGGGCTCAGACATAATAACACTGCCAAATAAATTCAGGTGGGTAGTCACATTGGTCTGAAGCAGTAGAACAAAGTTTGAGACCAGTGGCACCTTTAAGACCAACAAAGTTTTATTCAAGTATGAGCTTTCGTGCACATGCACACTTCTTCAAATACATTGAAATGGAAGTTATCAGTCCATACATATAAGTAGAGAGTCAACAGCAAATTAGCATACAACATAATGAAGATGTTTTAACAGATGCGAGAACCAAACAGGGATAACAAGCTAAGTTTATACTGTCACCATTTTTTTGGATTTAATTCCAGGGAGAAACACAGTGAACCAGATAAATATGGACTGATAACTTCCATTTCAATATATCTGAGGAAGTGTGTGTGCACATAGAAGCTCATACCTTGACTAAAACTTTGTTGTTCTGAAAGGTGCCACTGGATTTAAACTTTGTTCTGCTGCCAAATAAATTAGGCTAAAGCAATAGAGGTTTCTCTTCTAAAGTTAATTTTTTTAAGTAAGTATGACCCCCCAAAAGGCCAGACCAAATATAAAATTCTTACTAGACTTTGGGAAACTGAGCAGGCTCAGACTTGTGCAAGTCTCCAGAATGTATTTGCAATTAAACTAAAGAAGATAGGGATATTTGAAATCCTGAAAGCATGTTAAACCTATAGTGGTTTTAGGGGAAAGTATTGAGACTCTTTCAATGGGGGTTTGCTAAAAGATGGCTAAAATTTGTCACATTTTATAATATTCTGGTTCTGAGCTATAAAATGGAATCGATAATTTCGGCAGTCATTCCATCTTTATGAGTAAAGACTAGAGATTCTTGCGCTGACTAATATATATTATAGTTTGGCTATTTAGTGCCTCTAATAATTGTCATTTGCATACTTTCTTTGTTGATTACTTTGCCTGCCATTTTATTTGCTTTTTTTGTTGTTGTTAAAACCCTGCACTGTAAACATACTCCTTGGCAAACACTTCAAGAAAGGGATGTGTCCATCGGAAGTCATTGTTTCACTAAATGCTCCTGTGAGACTTTGCAACACTGATTTTAAATGAGTATATTGTTCACAAAAGGAATAATCAAGCCACTTTGATCTTTAAAAATCCCCAAGCTGGTATAAGACTTCCCAAGCATTTTTATGTGATTGTAGCTATGGATTGGTCTCTCAGTGCCCATATTCTGTTGAGGAACAACAATTAAGTTTTGTTTGATTAAATTTTGTTAAAAACTAGGCTGTTTCCTACAGGGCACCAGCAAGAGCTGTCCCCAAGACCTTGCCTGCAGGCAAGCAGAAGGCTCTGCCTACAAGACCCAAAATTCAGGGAAGCAGAAGACCCTAGGCACAAGATCAACCTACAGGAACCCTATGCAGGCAAGACCCTGGACACTGGAAAAAGAGGCAAAGATCAGAAGCCAGCATAAGATTGACAGGTTGCTCTCCTCTGAAATGAGCTCAATCAGCTTTAACTGTTGTTAATTATTGCTGGCTTCTGACCAATAAATGAAGTGCTTATTCAGATCTAATAAGCACAGATTGTTTCATCGGTTCAAATGTAGTCACTAGTAATTGTCCTCTCTCTGTGATGCTCCCGGTTCTTTTTCTCCAGTACTGTGTCTCCCTGTAGTCTGTGAACTCCTTCCCTACTAACAATACAGAAGCACAGTGTGCTGAAATATATTGCCTTGTTTCTAGAGAAATAGTATAGTTTTGCACCTTACCTCCTCTCAATGGTTTGACAAGATCCTTTGCCATTTCCTCCCTCTGACTGACATTAATCTTGATGATGTACAGCACTTACACCTCTGAGGACCAGATTTTGTGATCAGATTTTGTTCAATCCACTGCAGAGGACTGAGTTGACCTTAATCAGGTTTGACTCTTCTGCTACTGCGAATCTAAGATTTTCTGACTCAAAAGGTGTAAATGCTAGACCATCTCAAGGCTAAAAATGAAATAAATGTTTGGTAAGAAAAAATTCTTGCACAAATTTTGCTGTTTTGTTTCGGCTTGATTCTTTCTACATGCAGTAGTAAACCAGGGACCTGTTCAGCATCCTCACTGGATTAGCAGCTGCACTGTTAAATATGTTTTTAAAAGACGGTGTTAGTGCAATGTAGATGGATGAGCCATCACTGTTATAGCATTAATTGCATCAATCAGAGGTGTTGTACAAGTGTCTCCAACCAGTACTGCACTGCTGGGGAGCTAGGTTTGGAACTAACGAATTACATGAGGTGCAACGATGCTCCAAGCCTTGCTCTACTTCAGTTTAAATAGAGAATTAGCATGGCAGAAGTTTAAGGGGCTGACAACATCTGAATTCAGAACAACCTAAAGACATTTCAGCAATTATGAGGCCATCTGTATCATGGCATGAGTTCACAGCTAAGATTTGATAGTAATTTTTATAACAGGATTGTATAAGGTTGTGTAGCAAAATGGACTCATTGAGCATTGGGATCTACAATGGTGCAAGCCATTCTGCAATTTTGCAACTAGTTATTATAAAAACAAGAAGCTGTGGTTCTTTAGGTGAAGTGATTGGATGAAGTACTATGATAGTATTACAGGATGCTCATAAATATTCTGGTTCCTGAAATCATTAAAAGAATAAACAATAAAACAGTCTAGTTTCTGAGAGAGATGTAGATGATAAATTTATTTGGAAACAAATCTTACATTCTAGGGAAAAGTTATGAGAGAGGAAGCTGCAGGAAGAGGAGACCCAGTGGCAAGGAAGGAACAGGAAATCCATAGACAGGCATCATGTCTAAAGAAAGGGAGCAGAGAAGGCTAATAAACCAGGTATATGAAGAGAAGTGCAGTAGTGGAGATAAAGACCTAATGAAAACAGCAGAAGATTTGACGAAAGATGAAGCCAATGAAAGGGAAGACAATACCAAGAGTTCCAACACATTAAAAGTATAAGAATGTAAATAATTCAAGAGAAGAGGGGACAGATAAGTGTCCTAAACATTCAAAGAAACTGACTACCTGACGGCTGTAGGACACAATAGCAGGACCTTTATGAAATAATCAATGGCGAAGGAATAGAGATGTGGTTTATTGCCATATCACATGTAGGCACATCTATGTTGATCAGGATCAGTATATTTCAACTTACCACAGGTCTAGAGACCCTAAACATTTCAAAAGCATGCAACTGAAAGTAATTTATGCATCCCTACATGATTCAGCCTGACTCAGGATGAATCATAATAAAGCTGTAGATTTTTTAAAAAATCAAAATCCACCTACATATATATCAGCCTTCTAGCAAATTATCTCTTCTTTCCATGCCTTCTACCTTCTCACACTGAGAACAGCTTGTCAGCTCTTTGCAAACTGTTTGCTGTCTTTGGCTCTTGCTGCAGTATTGTGAATAATGAGATTTTTCAGAATCTCATACCAACATGAACATCCATGGTCCTGAACGTCCACCCAGTCTTCTCATTTGGAGAGTGGGTAGGTATTGCTGCTCAGTGGTCCAGGGTTATTTCAGTGAAATTATAGCATAATAGAACCTTCTCGACAAGAAAGAAATAAAGCCATTATCATCAAAAAGGCCAGAGGCACATATTTAACCACTATTCAAAAGAATGCGGCTGTTATAGCAGTTTTCATTAATTTACCCTAACTTAAAAAGAAAAATTAAACTCCAGCAATTACATTTCAATTATTATTTTGAGTTCTGTTTCCACACACAAAACCCAAAAAATTATAACTAAGCTATTTGTAAGAGAAAAAAGGGAAAGCACCATCTTTTAAAAACTCCATCTTTGCTTCTCATCCAAATCATACTACTT